TGACGACCCATGATATCTGCTATGTCCAACCTTTAGCGAGGCTAGACTATGACTCTTATTGGTGCTCTGTGTCACAATCGCACTTTTGCGAGACAGCGATTATGCGGCATTTGTTCTAACCCAACGAACAGATTAACTGTGAAAAATTCAGACTTTTGGGACAACGTTGGTGTATGCTCGAGTCCTGAGTCACGTTTGAGAGAAGTATTTTAGAAAACGTGAACGAGGAAGTATGTTGAAAATAATTTGAAAGAAAACAATGTTATAAGCTAAAAGTGATTAAACAATAACAACTTTAATAGCATATAACCCAATTAGGAGGAAGAGACAGCTAATCATATCCCGTGTAAGACATTCTGGGGCATTTTAGCCCCAACAGGAGTAGACAAGATTTAGGTGAACGGTCATACACACTCATATTAACACACCCTGAAATATTAAAGACATTTAAAATGAAAGTATTTAAAAGGGATTTGGAACGGCATGTGGCCATGGATAACACATCCTGAATGAGCATGACCGTGATACTCTGCATCAACATCTTTAGCGAAACTCACAAATTTCAAGGTTGTACAACAACTTCCCACGGTTGAAACACAAGAAGGTGGACGGTGGACGGTGGACGGTGGGGCTGTACTACCGACAAAATCGCCAACGTTCCGTGCAGGTTGCAGTAGAAGCATTGCATTATTAGCCATGAATTTTGGTGTCATTTCTTCTGCAACTTCCGATCCTTCTTCTTTCTTCTTCAATCACATTCTATTTCTCTGTAGCAGATGAACACACCATGTACGACTCTTTTGTACCCCTACCCCATCTCCCCTCCAATTATTTTTCTGCCACCCAACCTAACACGGATCCCGACTTCAAAATTTTGTCGTTTACGTGATCTATGAGTAAACGACAATATTATCTTAGTTAGTATACATGCATAGAGCGAAGAAAGGAGGAAATGAGTAACTTACCTTGTAGATTGTCTTCCGCGTCAAAGATGCATATTTTTATTCAGTGGCTCAATCATAAGAACTTCATGGTTACCCGTGTTTTACTTCAATTCTATGTTGGGTGATCTTCTAAAAATTTTCTTGTGATGCATGTGAGTGAAGATAAAACATTTTAGAAGGATTCGTGTTAGTCTGTGGAGATAGTCTTCACTCATAAGAAGCGAGAAGTAGATAATGTGAGCATGTCATGTCAGGGCTATCAAGCGTCAAATCCTGATCTAATCGTGACATGGGTCGTTACAAAACATGCATCCTAAAAGGATTCGTGTAGGACTATGGAGATAGTCTTCACTCGTAAGAAGCGAGAAGTAGATAATGTGAGCATGTCGTAAGAGAATGTCATGGCCATCAAGTGTCAAATCCTGGTCCGAATCGTGACATGGGTCGTTATAGAACATGCATCCTAGAAGGATTCGTGTAGGTCTATGGAGATAGTCTTCACTCTTAAGAAGCGAGAAGTAGATAATGTGATGTTGTAAGAGAATGTCGAAACTATCAAGTGACAAATCTTGATCTAAATCGTGGCATAGGTCGTGACAGAATATTTCAATGGGAGCTAAGGAAACACAAGAAAATTACATAGCTGTGAGTGGCAGAAGTAGTACTAGAAGGGCCGTGTCGGGCGGAGGATTGTCGAAGTTTTTAATGGAAGGGACCGTCGCTGGGTGTGGCAGAGCCATTATTGGGCACTGAGTCTTGGTTTTCACAGCTCTCTGTAGCAGATGCTCACTAATCACATTCATTACACCATCATACATTTTTAGGTCTAGTTCGAAAAAGTTAGAGACCCTCGGTCAACTTCGTATAAATAGAAGATCACGACTCTAATGACATAGCTAATTTTTATTAATAGTTTTTATTAGTAGTCTCGTAGACACGGTCTGTGAGATCCCACATCGTTTAGGGAGGAGAACGAAACACCATTTATAATAGTGTGGAAACCTCTCCCTAATAGACGCGTTTTAAAAACCTTGAAGGGAAACCCGGAAGGGAAAGGCCAAAGAGGACAATATCGGTCAGCGGTGGGCTTGGGCCGTTACAATATCTCTATTAATACAAGACATTTTGGATGAAACAACTATTCGTGTAAAATGGGTAGCTTTCAAATTTTTAGCATAGTGATCAAAGGAAAGATTTTTACTCATTTATCTTGGACAAATTCTGAGTATTAGAATAGGTACTGACTGATCAAAGATGTTAATGATAAGATCGAGATTCTCCCTACTCGTTTTGAGATCTTTTATAAAAAAATGATGTGGATAACGAGTGAAGCTATAATTTTCGAGTAGGTCAAATCTTTTATAAAAAATGATTCACACTTCGAGCGTGTTCCGAGTAGGTCAAATCAATCACAACTCGTTCTTATCTTTCCAAAACAAGACGACCCTATTCAACTAAGAAGATGGACCAATGATATTTGAAATAAAACCGATTCATACTATAGATAAAAACGTGTAATCGAAATGTGTATCTTATGCAAAGTTCAAACGCTCGGTCGTGCATGGCGAGATTGTCGGGGCTTTAATGGAAAGGGACCGTCGCAGGCTGTCGCCTAAGGAGCATTTGAGTAATGGGAAGTTGATATACAAAGAATGAAGAAGGTTTGTGGTTGTGGTTGGCTAGGGTTAGGGTTAGGGTTAGGGTTAGGGTTAGGGTTACAAAAGTACAGACAAAGTTTCCGCCATTATTACTCCTTTCTCACATTCTTTTTCTCTGTATCAAATGAAAATGAATCGCTTTCATTCAATCACACAACCTGTTTTTGTACCATATTTGTACACTCTTCAATTATCTTTGTCACCTTAGCTCACGTGGATCGAGCGAAGAAGAAAGGAAAAGACTGTTATACCCTCGTAAAATTGTCTTCGATGCTAGAGGAAAGTTAAAATGGTGTGTTCGGTGAGTGAAACTCAAATAAAGTAATGCTCGGTGTAGTAGATTTAGAAACTTGAGATTGATTCAAAAGGTTGTTAAAACTGTCAAAACGATATTCACTGTCGTGGAACTTTTAAGATTTTTCTAGTACGTTTACCCCTTATCAAATTCTCTCTTGTTATGGTAGAAGTTCGTCCTTTTTAGGGTTCGTCTCGATGTTTAGACCAAACTTCATCCAAGCTTTACCTAGTTAGAGCTTTGAAGAGAGTCAGAAACTCAAAGTTCGTCTCGACGTTTGGACTAAAGTTTGTCCGAACTTTAAGTCATTACTACTTTGGAGAATTAGAAGCTAAAAGATTTTCCTTGTAAGAGTTTGTGAGATCCCACGTCGATCGGAGAGGAGAACAAAGCATTCCTTATAAGGGTGTGGATATCTCTCCCTAGTAGACGCGTTTTAAAACCGTGAGGCTGAGACGATACATAACGGACTAGAATAAACAATATCTGTTAGCGGTGGGTTTTGACTGTTACAGAGTTCGTCTCACGCATTTTAGACCTCTAGAGAGTTACAAACCCTAAAGTTCGTCATTTCTAGAACTTGGCTCGACATTTGGATCAAAATGGATAATATTATACAAAAATATAAGTAGTCTATCCTCTCCAATTGTAAAGTCAAATCTACTAAGGTCCTTCTCCTATTACCCTAGATGCTTTCTAAAGTGGTGGGCAAGAATGGAGTCCCTATTACCATCTCTTTATAATCTAAAGTCTAAAGGGATTAGACTATAACGTGCAAGTTGTATAGCGTGCAAGGAGAAAGAATCGGTAGAGTCCCTATTACACGGTATGATATGTATTGTGTGACAGTGCACTTCGTGTCAAATGAGTGTGAAGTATCGTTTTTCGAATTCAATTATTCAAGTGGAAGATAGCTAAGCTTATTGTGCAAGAGAATCTTTCTTAAAAATAATGCTTTTGATAATTATATGGTCGTGTATAGTTCGAGTGTCACTTTATATTGTGTAACCGTCAAAGTCCACCGTTAGCAGATATTGTTCATTTTAGCCTGTTACGTATCGTCATTAGCCTCACAGTTTTAGAACGCGTCTACTAGGAAGAGGTTTTCACACTCTTATAATGAATGTTTCGTTATCCTCTCCAACCGATGTGAGATCTCACAATCCACACTCTTTGGGGGTCCAACGTTTTTGTTGGCACACCACCCGGTGTCTGGCTTTGATACCATTTGAAACAGCCTAAGCCCACCGCTAACGGATAATGTCCGGTTTAGTAGCCTATTATGTATCGTCACCAGCTTCATGGTTCTAAAACGCGTCTACTAGGGAGAGGTTTCCACATCCTTATAGGAATGTTTCGTTCCTCTTTCCAACTAATGTGGGATCTCATAACCCACCTTCTTGAGGGCCATTACGTATTGTTAACCCACCTCATAACCCATTTGTGTCTAAGCCCATTGTTAACAAATATTGTTTGTTTCAGTCCGTTACGTATCGTCATGAGCCTCACAGTTTTAAAACACATTTACTAGGGAGAGGTTTCCACACCATGCTTCGTTTCACTCTCCAACTAATGCAACTAATGTGAGATCTCAGCATCCACCACCTTGAAATCCCATCGTCTAAGCTAGCACACCGTCTAGTGTTTGGCTCTAATACCATTTGTAACTGCTCAAGTCCTCCACTCTTGTAAGGAATCTTGTAAGGAATGTTTTGTTCTCTTCTCTAATCAATGTGAGATCTCACATATTATCCCTTCAGTGCATAAAAACGTAGACTTTAAAAGACGTCACATAGTTAGGTTACTAAATTTTTAATTTTGTGTCCAGTAGGCCATGGACTAGTTCGACATTTTTGTAAAATTTTATCAACCTTATAAAAATTTGATATAAATTTTAACTATAAAAAAGAAAGATTAAAAGAATCATGAGATAATGTTAAAGAGAATTACAAAATAATGTGAATGTCTTCTTTTTCATCCCTCCTAGCCCTAGCGAGGCCAAAGGCGATGAACTTTAATGGAAAAACTAGGTGACCATCACAGCGGTTTCCAAGCTCACGTGGGTCCATTCTCCTCCTAATTGTGCCTTTGGATAATACCACTGTATGGTAAAAACCACAATCCAAAACCCCCCAATGAGTTCCATATAAATTCAACACCATTTCGAGCTCAAAAACTCATCCAAATTCCAATATTACTTCCAAATTTCTCCTTTGAGACATTTCCTCGAACACTTAGCGTAATGGGTATTCGTCTACCGGAGATCATTCTTCACGCCAAGCAAATTACTCACCGGCAAATTGGATTTGAAGTGATGAAGCACCGACCGGCGTCGTCGGATGTTCCGAAAGGCCATTTCGTGGTCTATGTTGGGGAGGACGAAAAAGAAAGGAAGCGATTCGTGGTGCCATTGTCGTACTTGAAGAATCCTCTGTTTCAAGAACTGTTGAGTAAGGCTGCTGAAGAATTTGGATTCGAACATCAGTTTGGTGGGATTACTATTCCTTGCGCTCAGGATCATTTTCTCGGTTTAACCTCTCGATTGAATACACCCATAAGCTGAAATTGATCAGAAATGAGAACCCATTTGCCTCCAAGTTCGGAAATGGTAGAACACTGTAAATTAATCGATGATATTCTTATATTTGCGTTTTTTATAAATGGGTTTCTCCAACTGTAGGGGAAATCATTGATGTATTCTTTTTATTATTGATTCAAAGTAAGTTTTGAAAATCCTCTTCCGTTTAATTCAATGTCTGAATCAAATGATAATTTATGAACCGTCGCCATGTTATCGGTCTCTTTTTGTTCATCTTCAAACGCCATGTTTGCATCTCACACCGTTTGACGTTTAGGAAACTGAACAGAGTAGAAATTTTGGTTTCGTTAATATAAACCATCTGCTGTTCTTCACGGGCTGTGAAGTTTTGATTCTCTGTTGCAAATTAGAAAGTTGTTTGAACGTAACTAAGTCTATTTTGGATGATGGGTTCTTTGATATCAAGAACTCTTCTGTATGTAAACACTCAGTTCTTTGGTTGTTCTTTCTTTCTGCTTTTCTTCCCCTGTTTTTTCTCCTGATGAAGGCTTGAATTTCTGTTTGAATCTGATAGAATGGCTTTTGGGTATGTTTATCCTGCTTATGAATGCTACAAGATTGTGGAGAGGAGCCCATTAGAGATACTCCAGCTTTTGTTTTGGTGCCATTTTTGGTCTGTAATGGATGCCCTGTTCTAGCATCTTCCTGTTTAATTTGATTCAACTAATAGCAGTGTCCAATGCTTTCTTTTCGATGTTTGTAGGATCATAGTTGCTATGCTTACAGTGTTGGAGAAAGTGGGAGACCCTTTGATTTCATGGTATGCAAATGTCACTCATTATCTGAACTATATAATGAAATAGAAGTGTTTATAAGCTTAATTTTCAAAAACTGTAGGGTGGGTTATCAAACACGTCATAAGTTTTCAACTTCTGTTTTGCTTTCGATGTTTGAGAGAGTGAGAAACTTGGGTTTCGGGGGCTCCTCTAACTTTGGGAGGCTTTGTCCACCCGAACCGAATGACAAGGTTTTAAGTTATTAAGTTTTCGACTCGAGGCTTGAACTGCAGAACATGTTCTAAACCCGAGCCTAAGGGTATCCTTGGGGAAATTCTTATGTAGTTTCATCAGGGTTATTAGACACAGCATAAGTTTTCAACTTTTGTTTTACTTTCAATGTTTGAGAGTGAGAAACTTGGGTTTCGTGGTCTCCTCTAACTCTGGGAAGCTGTCCACCCGAACCGAACAACAAGGTTCTTAAGTTATCAAGTTTTCAACTCGAGGCTTGAACTAAAGAACGTGTTCTAAACCTGAGCATAAGATACCCTAGGGGAGATTCTTATGTAGTTTCATCATGGTTATCAGACACATCATAAGTTTTCAACTTCTGGAGGCTTTATCCACCCGAGCCGAATGACAAGGTTTTAAGTGATTAAGTTTTCAATTCGGGGCTTGAACGGAAAAACAAGTTCTAAACTCGAGCCTAAGGGTACCCTTAGGGAAATTCTTATGTAGTTTCATCGTGGTTATCAGACTGAGCACAAGTTTTTAAATTTTGTTTTGCTTTCGATGTTTGAGAGAGTGAGAAACTTGGGTTTCGGGGCCTCTCTAACTTTGGGAGGCTTTGTCCACCCGAACCGAACAACAAGGTTTTTAAGTTATTAAGTTTTCAACTCGAACATGTTCTAAACCGAGCATAAGGGTACCCTTTGGGAAATTCTTATGTAGTTTCATAATGGTAACGGGGCTTTCTAAATCTTTGTTGTGAAGGTTGCCGCTGTACAATGAAGCAAAGCTGGCATTCTTCATATATCTTTGGCATCCTAAAACAAAAGTAAGCATTCAACATCTTAAAGAAGCCTCATTATTCATTCCATCAGATGATATCTAACTGAGGTTTGTTTTCAGGGAGCAGCAAGTATGTTCGACTTCGTTCTTCGACCATTCATAGCGAAACACGAAGCGAAAATCGATCATTACCTGGTCGAACTAAGTACCAAGACAGCAGATATCGCAACCTTGTTTTGGCATAAAACAACAAGTTGCAGCCAAACGACATTACTCGACTTGCTGCATAATGTTTCGTCTCTGCCCACGTCACAGACTCATCGTCGTAATCAGGTACTCAAAGCTTCTCCAAACTCTTGGAAATGGAAATAACTTGTCCTTGAAATATGTTTGTTCTGGCAGAATCTCAAGGATGAAACTGAATTAGCAGCAGCAGAGGCAACAGAACCTGTATCAACTATGGAAAATAGAGTTGCAGATGATTCAAAGAAGAAGGTAAGTTTTGATGAACTATCAACGAAACCGAAACGTCGAAAACGACGATTTTCTAGCTTGTTTTGTGCAAAATGAGTTTGAGACTTCTGTAATATTAACTTCTGAAAGAGTAGTCGGATGCATTTGTTCTATTTCAATGGTCATCTGCTTCGTAACAGTTAAATTATACGAGTTAGATTAAATTGATCAATCATCCATGAACTCGATGAGATCGAGATGTATTTACAACCCGAACCCAATCCTTAAGTTGGCAGCTTTTCTTTTTTTAGATTTATGTGGTTGTGAAAAAGTGGTGAAAGCCGAATAACGATACATAGGCCCAACACGAGCGAGCATGTCTCCTGCAACTTGGTTATGTTGTTTAGTCTTCGCTTCTAAAATATTCTCATAGACTAGACCAACACAAAGTAAAACAACTTACCTATAAAAAGCTCCTATGATTGAGCCACCAGAAAGAAAGGTACACGGTATAGGTAGTGACTTTCAATTCTTTTAGGTCTCTTTTAGTTATCATATCTTCAAGATCACTCTCATTCGTATGTAGTCTCGGTTCATTCATATATTCTTCTTATACTTAATAAGTATGTCAACAACGAGTTTCTTTTGAACATAAGCCCTAAAAACGGTTAATACGTTGAAAAGTTTTATTAACACTCTTTTTATATAAAAATAAACTTTAAAAACTTTTTTAAAATTTTTAAAAATATCTATGAATTTAGTTTTAAAAAATCGGATATTCTTAAAAAAAAAAAAATATCATAGATTGAAGAATATTTAATAAAAAAAATTTAAAATAAATTACTAATATTTTTCTTTTTTAGATTTTTTTTTTAAGTTTAAGAGAATTATTAAAAGATTATTTCTATTAATTTAACCTATTTTAAATATTTATGGGCTTTGACACGTGATTGGTCATGTGTAAAGAGAAGTAGTCGGAGCGGGTCGGTCCAAAGACAAAACCGACAACCGTGAAAAAAAATTGAAAAATGAAAAGGGCTTTTAATGGTCGGGTGTCGGGTCCAACCCGCTTACCGCCCTACGTGTCTCGACCACATAATTATTAGTGGCCAAAATCCCCTCTCTGTATTGTTCTTTTCTTTGATTTTGCCTAGCTTCAAATAGGGGCAAAATGGGAATTCCACATATATTTATCAATATCTAGAATATTCAAAGAGTTTTGAATAATGGGATCAAAATATTTTATAAATTTTATTTTCTATCCTTTTAAAAGTTTAAATTTCATAAATAATAAAAATTCATAGAACTAAAATTTTAATTCAACCAAATTAAAAATATATGTTTATGATATCTCAAAATATCATTTTTAAATTTAAAATTTAATTTCAATATTTTGTCACTTAAGGAACAACGTCGACGCACTCGTGACATCTAATGCTATCATTAATTTTAAAAGAAAACGTCAAAAACGCTCATCTTCATTGCTCACATTATGTCTAGGTTATAAATAGAGATGTCCATAGGACGGGGCTGGAACGAAGAAGACTAACGTCATTATCCCTACAAAATTCTCCATTTATTTGTATGAGAACCAGTGTGGAGATTTCCTATGAAAATTTTATATATATATATATATATATTGAAAATATATTTATATTAACCGGAGAGACGGGAATAGAAAATATACTCCCTTAGTCACAATATAATAAAATTTGAGATTTTTTTTTTTTAATTTTTATGTAATATTTGAAAACTGAGATAAGAGATATTTGAACATAAATTTCAATTAAATCCACAAATTTGAAATCGGTTTAAAATGGATAGAAATTGAGACACACGTTCATCATCTCCGGTGCTAACGTAGCAAATCCAGAGAGGAGGAGAAGAAGAAACAGGGAGAAATTGGTATCAAGTTGTTCATAATCTGATAATCAACGAAGCATAATCAACCAAGTTGATCGCCATTGCCAACAATCTCTCTCTCTCTCTCTGTTTTTCACAAGATTCTCGGCAAAAAGCTTGCGGAGTTCACAAGATTTGAGGACTCAAAAGTAGAAAAATTAAATGGATTCTGCTTCTTCACCACCATCTTCATCATCTTCCCCAATGAAACGACCTACTGGACAGGTTCTGGACGGTTCAGAAATTATGGAGTTAGTTGGCAACAACCACGTCTTCTCCTCTTTCGTCCACCATAAGTTTCACGAGCTCGACACCGACAAAGACGGCAAACTTTCCCTCCAAGAACTTCACCCTACCATCGCCGACATTGGTGCCGCTCTTGGCCTTCCTCCTCCCGCCACTTCCTCTGGTTCCGACGGCATTTACTCTGAGGTTGCTTGCTTCCTCCCTTTCTCTCTGTTTTTTTTTTTTAGGTTTTCACTCGATTCCGTATCGTCTTGTTTACTGTATTTTGTGCTGAAATACTTGGATTCCTTCTTGAAATTCTGAATTCAAATTGGGGAAAAAGACAAGAACTGTCCGTTTGTGTAGTGATTAATCTAATTTGAATGATTGATCTAATCTGAATTTGTTTTTTCATTCTACCTAAACTCTTGAGAAAGTGATGTCGGTGATCTCATGATCATTTTGTCCACTACTGAATTGAGACCACCACTATTAAATTGGAGAAAAGACAAGGAGATTGATACAAGATTTTAGCGGGTTTTCTTTGTTTCAATGCTTCATGTTTATGTCCAAAAGTGCACTAGTTCGTGTTGTATATCGTCATGAATCTATATCATTTGGTCTACGTACCAGAATTGATAACATCTAAGATTATGTAGAATTATATACGCTCTCTCTTTAGCTCTATGTCTCTTATCTTTAGGAGGTCTTCCTTCACGAGTAGGTTTTTTTTAAAAACTTCATTTGTTCTTACGTGGATGGTAGACAAGCCTATATTTCTTGGTTTTAATAGAACTCCTTACGAGCGTTGTTTCTATCTACTCTTATCTCAAAATAATCCGGATGAAACCAAGAAATAACCTCTCACATTCATAATTATTGAAGATCTCTTTGAGATCAAACAATTTCATTGAATTGAATTGAGTATAATTGTTTATCATGTAAACAAGACAAAGATCCCATTTCATTTTACTCCAAAAGCTTTGGACCGCCCAAATATTATAATATGGCGATGCATGATTCTTGTTTCTTTACATTTTCTTTTAGTGCCTGCCCTTTGATGATTGTGATGATGATCTAAGCTTTTAGTGGGTATTGATGACTTTACTTTCTCTTCTTGGTTTATAGTTTTCCATTTACAGATAGCTTTGAGAAGCATCCAACCTCTGGTCCAACATGGCCGGTGGGTTCATTACAACATTCTGGTTTCTTTTTTGAGTTCCTTTTTTGACTTTTTCTTTCATTCTTGTTTCTTTTATCTTCATTTACAAGGAGGAATCTATGACGAGTGCTTTGAAAATCATACCCATTTTCTCATTAACACTGTTAGAATTGTCAACGTCTTGCATCATTGATAATAAAGCAAGTTTCCTGCTCCAATAATGAACCAAAAGAAGTGGATGATCTATCTATAAATAGTTAACGTTTTGTTTGATCAAACTGTTCTTGTTTTCTCCTTGTATTTTGTTGCCAAAATGTATTGCACATATTCTGAGTTTCCTTCCTTGAGTGTTGAATGTCAAGTATGTGTTATTTAGTGCAGCAATCAGTTTCCATTGTTGTTAGATCATTGAACTCTGATAATTTCTGCTCTGGTTGGGGTTTTTCTGGGTGGTATGTAGGTAATCAATGAGTTTACTCATGGATCAAGAGAAAAGGTAAGCAAGACTGAGTTTAAAAAAGTTCTCTCTGATATTCTGCTAGGCATGGCTGCCGGGTTGAAGCGAGATCCTATCGTTATACTTCGGATCGATGGAGAAGACCTCCTTGAATTCATTAATAGCCCTGCTTACGAGCCTGAGATGGTCGCCATTTTTTCAAAAATCGAGCAATCCGAAGAAACTCTTCATGATAACATTGTTAAAGCTTTTCAAAATCTTACTGTGGAACAAGGGATGCCTCCTCCTTCAGACTCCTGGGTAATTATTTGAATAGAACCAATAGAACTTTGTTGTTTTTGTTCTTAGCTTACTATGACTAGAAGCATATAAAAGCTTAATCTTCCAGTAGTTCTATGATTGAGTTTGTTCCATCTTCTCGTTAGGTTATGAGCGATATCGTCGAACCAGCTCTCGAATCGTGTGCTCTAGGTGAGAATTGTGGCAAGCCTGTCTCACAAGAGACCTTCCTGTTGGAGTTCAAGAGAGCTGCTGAGCATGTGGCTCAACGCCTTAAAGAACTGCCTGTTATTGTTGCTCACAGTGAAAACACCTTTGATGGGAGTAGCATCAGAAGATTGTTATCCAACAAATTTGAACTGGACAAGGTAATATCCGCTACTTGGCTTGATTAAGATTGTTCTTGCATCACGTTCAAAACTTCATATGTCATTGTTTGATCTGGATGCAGTCGCTTAATACGGCACTTCAGAGTATCCCTAAAGATAAGACTGGGAAATTGCCAAAGGAACATCTGCAGTTGGCGCTCGATTTGGTTGCTCCGTTAGCCGGTTTACCGCCTCTAGGCGCCCTCAACGAGGTTACGAAACAATCAACAAACATCATTGACATTAACATCAAACTGATAATTTAATGACACTGAAACTAATGTCTGGTTAAGAATAAGAAGCTCTATACCATGCTATAGAGCTTCTCATTCTTAACATGTCTCATTCTTTACATGATATGAGAGCTTCTCATTCTTAACTTGTCTCATTCTTTACATGATGTGAGAGCTTCTCATTCTTAACATGTTTGGTCTGTATAATCGAATCTGTGCAGATGGACAACCTGATTCTTGATGCATTCAAGATGGTAGCTGCGGACGACGGGAAGGCAGTTAAGGAAGACGAGTTCAAGAAACTATTGACAGAGATTCTGGGGGCAGTGATGTTGCAGTTGGAAAGCAATCCAATCCTAGTGTCTTCAAATTCTGTTGTGCATGAGCCTCTAGCCTGTTCTTCTACACTTTTGACACCATCATCTTAGTAATCCATTATAAGGTAAAGGAAAATGACATAGAACTTGTATAAGTTATCCTAATATGGGGAGCTAAGGCATGAATTGGCTCCTTCTACAGGCTATAAAATGATGCTCCCTCGAGTGAATGTATGTATCAGATTTGTTGTATTATGTTGTAAACGATACTTTGTGTGTATG